ATTATTTGGTAATATTATGTAATTATTAAATAAAATAAATCTGTTTTATCTATTTTCAATGGATTTTTTTTGAATGATATACGGACCAATCCTGGTCCGTATATATGTATACGGACCGGCATCGGTCCGTATATTCCCTAAACTGCAGCTTTTTCAATTTTTTTTCCTACGTTATATTTCGTGAATTTTAAAATTTTTCATGTGTAATATAATTAAACTTTTACATATTTTAAGTCATTATTTTAAATAATTATTCTAAACATATTTTATTTTTTTTATAAAATGCATTTAATTTGAATGGTAAAATATATTTTTGCATTATTTGGTAATATTATGTAATTATTAAATAAACTAAATCTGTTTTCTCTATCTTTTTTTTTACATGATATATGGACCGATCCCGGTCCGTATATACCTATACAGACCGGTATCGGTCCGTATATTCCCTAAACTGCAGCTTTTCCTTTCTTTTTCCTACGTTATATTTCGTGAATTTTAAAATTTTTCATGTATAATATAATTAAACTTTTACATATTTTAAGTCATTATTTTAAGTAATTATTCTAAACATATTTTATTTTTTTATAAATGCATTTAATTTGAATGGTAAAATATATTTGTGCATTATTTGGTAATATTATGTAATTATTAAATAAAATAAATCTGTTTTATCTATTTTCAATGGATTTTTTTTGAATGATATATGGACCGATCCCGGTCCGTATATATGTATACGGACCGGCATTGGTCCGTATATTCCCTAAACTGCAGCTTTTTCAATTTTTTTTCCTACGTTATATTTCGTGAATTTTAAAATTTTTCATGTATAATATAATTAAACTTTTACATATTTTAAGTAATTATTCTAAACATATTTTTTTTTTTTTATAAATGCATTTAATTTGAATGGTAAAATATATTTTTGCATTATTTGGTAATATTATATAATTATTAAATAAAGTAAATCTGTTTTCTTCATCTGGTTACAGATTTCCGGAAGTTCACAGAAATATGAGTCTCACATGATATACGGACCGATCCCGGTCCGTATATAGGTATACGGACCGGTATCGGTCCGTATATTACCTCACAGCAGCTTACCTCCCCTGGGATTCATTTCCAGTATATACGGCCTTATATTCGGACCGATACCGGTCTATATATATATACAGATCGGGATCGGTTCGTATATGCCCCTGAACAACAGCTTTTCATTTTATTTTTTATTTCATTATTAAATCGTTCTACTCTCGTTTAAAACCGTAACATTCCGAATGTTTGCAAACCAAAGTGGTTAACCTAAAT